GCAATTTTTCTATTGAGGTGTGTATTGTTCTTCCAAATTCAAACATTTTTCACCAGGTCTGATGTACATGGCAATTTTGGTGAGTTTTCGAGTATGTTTAGGGCCTCAAAAACGCGTGTCTTTGGCACGAATAATAGTAATAATCCGAGCAGTTCCAATAGGGTCTTCGCACCCGTTTGGGTGCTCGGACCCTAATAAGAATCACAAGGGTTTCAATAGGGTCCTTGCACCGGAGTGCTCGGACCCTAATAAAAGCATGAAGAAGATACAGTGTACAATAAGTACATAATATTGGAGAGTTCAAACCTGCTAACCAAGATAGTTCAACAATATATGTGTGTTTGTGTGTACAGGTACAGCACAATGCTGGCGTGTTGGGAGACAAACCCCTCAGACCGACCCACCTTCACCAACCTGGTGGAGACGCTGGGAGACCTGCTACAAGCGAGGGTGCAGCAGGTCAGCGATTCTACTTCTCAGGCTTTTTCTTTCTTATCTAACAAAGTGTTTTTACGCAAAAAGGCCCCACCTGTCTCACAAAACGTGTTGCAAATGCCACAATTAGTTTTTTCTCTTCAGCAGGATGGGAAGGATTATATTCCACTGGGATCTTTTGTGACTGGAGACACTGGTCGCTGTGAGGCCTTCAAAGAAAACCCTCTTGCGGTCACAAACCTGAGGTAAAGAAACACAAGAGAATAAAAAGATCATGTAAAAGTCAGCATGCCTTGATGTAAAATGTCATGTATGTGTGTATGAGTAATGAGGTATAGTGGAGAAGTGCTGTTGAAAAATTAAAAAAATAAAAATAAAAATGCAACAAGAAAACTGAAAGTAAAACTCAGACTCAACAGGAAGCAGGTTTAGAAAGCAGAGAAATTCCCAGCTAATGTTTTGAATCTGAACCCATTCTGTCCAGTTACATGAGGGGTTTGGCCACTCTGGAAACTTTTGAGGAATTGCCCTGTGAGGAAGCGGACGGTCCTGATGTAAGAAAACACCCTCACTTCTCCTTGCACACATGCACCAAAAGAAAGAAATACAAAACCCAAAGCCACCAACAAGTACGATTTTTTTTTCTGCAAAACAACAGTGACATTGATAAGCTGCATGTTTTCATCCTCTCTGTTGCAGGATGAGCAGAGTGACAGTGGAATGGTTCTACCGTCAGAGGAGCTGAAGCACATGTTGAGGAACAGCAGCAGCATGAACGAAAAACTTAGCAGGTGAGGACGTCCAGTCTGTGACCTCTGGATGTTTGACTCATCTCTTCTGGTCCAGACTGTAAACAATATGTGGTATTGCACACATTTAAGAAATGATGCATTTAAAACTATTTCCATGGGTTGTTTTTTTTAAAAATATATTTTTACAAAAAATTCCATGTCCAACATTCCTCATACCTTTTCTCAGTAATCAGTGGCATAGCCTTTATTTGCCACCACAGCAATCAAGCAGCTCTTCTCATTTCTAACCATCTCCACTGGGATTCTGGGCCACTCTTCAGTTCCCTCTACATAGTTTTGATGGATGTAGGTCTGGACTCTGGTTCATGTTCATATTGTCTTCTGTTAACCATTTCTCCATCATTTTGGCCGTCTGTTTCACATCGTTGTCTTGTTGGAGGATCCAAAGCTGCACAGGGACAAGTTTTTCTGCAGACTGCTTGATGTTTTCCTCCAGAATCTTAATGTTCTCCTTTTTTCTCATGATGCCGTTTACTTTGGCAAGATTTCCTCAATCACTGACTGAAAATTATCCCGAAAGGATTACATTCCCACCACCATGCTGGACCAGTCTTGTAGGAACTGTACTGAAATGTCTGTATTGAGATGTTGGTACCACAATTACCGAGATTCATCAGGATGGTCTTGGTGCTATTAACATTTTTTTTTTATATAACAAAGCTTGGAATCACTGCCTGCCGGTGATGTGTCTCAGAGGAAGGAAACAGCACAAACATATTGACTCTGTGCAGAAAAATACAACTTATTTCTTAAATTAAAGGTCTGATAAATGTGTCATACAGTGACTTTTATCGATAAATCATTGCTGGACTCTCGATCTGTATCTCCTTTGTGTTTAGGTTCTTCAACTTTAAGTGCCGAGACAACCAGGTGCCCTTCCTGTGCAATGACATCTCGGGTCTCCATGACAACGAGCCCTCCATCCTGCCGTGTGATTGGGAGTCTGACGAGGGCGGCTCCCCTCCTCCAGACTACAACTCTGCCTTCCTCTACCCCTCCCTCTAGCATTTACTTCTATGTAATCTGAAAAAAAAAAAAAACTTCATACAGGGTTTATATATTTTCCTGCTCATTGTTTTTAGTCACTCAGAGCTTATCCAGCTTTTACACGTTGCTGTTTGCATCCTCTACCTCATTATCGGATCTGCAGGTCAAAAAGCCATTTATTTGCCTTCCTTCAATATGCAAAAATCACATGCTGTTTTTACAACAAAGCTTCCTCACAATTATCAAGTATTATCTCAGAGCTTTCCTCAAGAGCAGCTAAGTATTACCTGACAGTACTTATTCCATGCAGAATGTATTCACTGAACTATTAGAGCTTATTGTATTGGTACCTCGTGCTTGGAGCTTTGTGAAGAGGAGCACCGCTGTAGGAAATAAGCGTTCCTCTGACACAGCTACTAAATGCTGGAAACAAGTTATTATCCACTGAATTACAGAATGTATCTATCTGTATTTATTTTATTCATAGTTCCTGTGCCTTAAATTGGACCTTTTGTGATTGTAAATGACATTTAGTTTCCAGTTTATGAGTCACATCGAGCCATACATAATGCAGTAAAATCTACTTTCAAGAAAGTTTTAATATTAAACAAATCTCAGAAATGAGATGATTCAGTACCTCCCCAGTGAATATTATTATTATTATTAGACTGTACTGGTTTTAGCTAAATGTGGCCAATAACCTGGCATGTATTAAGCATCAACAAAGGTTTTTAACTTTTAATTCTCTCACATAATTTTTTTGTTTGAGCACATTTTTTGTTTTCAAAGAATATGCCAATTTCACTTGGATCACCTGAGGTATATACAGTTGAAACCAGAAGTTTACGTACACTGTATAAAAAGACATTTTTTTTCCACTCTCTGACATTAAATCAGACTAAACTTTCCCTGTTTTCGGTCAGTTAGGAATACCAAAATTATTTCTATTTGTTAAATGCCAGAATAATGAGAGAGAATTTTTCATTACTTTCTTCAAAGTCAGAAGTTTACATACATTTTCCATAGTATTTGGTAGCGTTGCCTTCAAACTGTATGACGTGGGTCAAACATCTTGGGTTTCCTTCCACAAGCTTCTCACAATAGTTTGCTGGAATTTTTGCCTCATTCCTCCTAACTGGACTGGTGTAACTGAGTCAGGTTTGCAGTGTGTTTGAGGTGTGCCTCCAATTAACTCAAATAGTGTCAATTAACCAATCAAAAGATTCCAATGCCATGACATCATCACCTGGGCTTTCCCAAATAGTTTGTAGGCATATAAAATCTTACTGTATGTAAACTTGTGTCTTTGAAGAAAGTAGTTAAAAAAAAAAAAAAAACTCTCTCATTATTCTGGTTTTTAGCAAATAAAAATAATTTTGATAATCCTAAATAACCTAAAACAGGAAAGTTTAGTCTGATTTAATGTCAGATAGTGAGGGGGAACAAAAGGCTGTATGCCTTTTTATACAGTGTATGTACATTTCTGGTTTCAACTGTAAATCGCAAAATGAACTGAATGGATTAAACTTCACTCAGGGGAGCAGAAAATGAATGTTCACTTTTGGTTTAAATGTTTTTGTACATTTAGTGAGCATAAGTCTGTGATTTGGACAAGAAGATAGAGCTGCAGGAGGATAGTACTTTCATTTTTTTTTTTTGTCGTCGTTTTTGTTTCTTGCCTTTTTGCTTTGTACCTACTGTAGCTTTAAGTGTCAAAAATGATTAGTTGCAGCTCTATAAAAGGCCAACTAATCCCCTGATGCAGACTCCATATACACCTGCTATTAACATTCATATACAGATTGCAATAATGTTGTTTTCCATATTTTATATTCAGATGACACTAATGTTGGGGTCCCAGTGTCAGAGGCAGTGGTAGAAAACACAGTTGACTTGTACCGCTGTCTCACTAAGTGAGCGAGAACTGCAACCCATTTTCTGTTATTACAAAAACAAATTTAAATGATTGTTGCTAGCAATGTGCTATTTGTAATTCTTGCCAATTTAAAAATATTCAGAGGAATGTACTTCTCATACATTAAAATCCTACCCATTTGTTGACAATGTTTCTCCAACGTGTGTGTAAATGTTGTAAAATATCTCCGTTACAAATTAAAAGCTCCACAACTGCAAAAACAGTCACGATCCCATACCGGTATCAGTTTTGGTATTCTTTATTAAAATACTGCTGTACACACAAATATTGCAAAATTTGAGACAAGAACACAAGAGGGGCATAAAACATACTAAGATGGTGATTGTAGGTGTGTCGATGTGGGGGGTGGAGAAGAAGGTCGTCACTAATATTAACTGGAGTGTTTGTGTTATGATGTGGAAATACAGTGATATGAACACTGACATTGTGTCGGCCGAGTCGGGGGGCATGTGTTTGAAAGTGTGTGAGTCTGTTTTGAGGGTTTTCTAAAGCACCACATTCACCAAATATGTTTTTGTCGGTTCGTTTCACTAAAACAGAGGAAGTAGTACATGATCTAACACAGCCAGCTCCCTGCAGGTTTGTTGCCCCCAAGAACAGACTTTCAACTTCCAGGATGATTTGAAAAGTTCACGACTGAAGCCAAGACACTGTGTTTGATTATTGCCTCCATCTTGATTTGACAGTGTGGTTCATACCTGTGATCCTGTTGTTCTACAGTCTTGTGTTTTGTACACATTCAACAGGAGCTTATAAGAGGAAAAGAAGCAGAATCAAGAACAGTGCTCCAACGCTTTGGGTTGTTGTTTTTACGGGTAAAGTAGGTCTGAAACCAAATTAGTTCATTCAATTTGAAGAGAAATTCTTACCAAAGACTTAAATCATCAACTGAAAATAGACTCTGTGCTTCAGGGCAACATGAAATCCATCTCCACAATGCCGTACACTTCCATTAACTTCCTAAAACCTCCATCTGAAGACGTCCCGCCCACTCCACTGTAGCTCATCTATCTGACTGGACAGGGGGTGGCCAATGACAGCCAAACACATTCAATCATTGGGCCCCTCCAGCTGTTCGTCATCCTGAGAGAAATCCAAGCCATCCGGGTGAGTGCAACAGCCAGCGCCACCGCTTTGTCTCCAGCACGTTGTTTGTATTTCATGATCTTAAAAAGTCAAATAAAACAAATCACAGTTGGTGCCCTGTTCCTATTCTCCTTCACCCTCCGTCCCTTCCCCTTTACCTAAACCCCTGCTGGAATTGGTCCACAGAATAATAAAGAGCAGAACTGAGGCAAAATAAGAATTGCCCTCCCGTTTTCCATCATGCATTCCTGCACAACAGCTGAGCAATGAGAAAAAGCAGCTTGGAAAAAAAAAAAGTCACAAAAAGCATCACTTTTTCTCAAATGTCGAGGCGCCCAGACCCCCTGAGGGGAAGTAAAGTTTGAGGATAAAAAGAGAGGGGGCAGTAAGAGAGAGACAGAGATAAGGGACGTTGGGGGTGAGAGGACGGGCGGGGGACAAAATAAGGACATTCCACAAAGAGGCAGCTGTGGCTCCACCTCAACAGAAGCCCCACCCACGGGCTACACCCAAGTGCTGGACAGCAGAACCAAAATGACCCACCCTTGAGCAGTTGATGTCACATTAGTGTCCATTAACCAAAGGCGGTTGCTGAATATGTAACAAACACTTGGTAGACGGCATCAGGAGAAGACACCCCTTCCTCAACTGAAACCACGTTTTACCCCCCAGAATCCAAATCCTGGTCCATGCTAGCCCACCCAGCCACAAATGTGAGGCTGATGTGCCATAATCTCCTGAACCAAAATGTCAAAAATCCTTTTTTTTTTTTTTCCAGTTTTACAAACCCCCCCCTCCCCCCTCCCACCCAAGTGGTTTGTCCTTACTCAAAGGGAACCAACAACCAAGGCGAAGGTGGGTTGGCCCATTTCACGAAATAGGTGCCATCCCGTCCTCGTGAAAGCCTTGAGTGGTGTGTCCCATCTCCTAGTGCGTCAGAATGAAGGGGTGTGGTCTCCAACTGGAAGAGAGATGCAGTCTATAGAATCTGGATTTCTTTTTTTTTGTCATTTGTTTTAATTCTGAGTCTGCTCTGGTATTTATGTCCATGTGTGTGACTTTAGCTCTCTCTGTGCACCCTGTAGGCCACTCACACATATTCATAAAAATAACAAAAATTAACAAAAAAATTAAAATCTTAGTGCATCCTCCACAGAAAAATAAACCCCAACTGTAGAAATAAACAATAAAAGCAGGAAAAAAGTTCAAAACCTCATGTTTTGTTTCTCGTTTTGTTCCCCAAATCTAAAAAATGTCATCATACTCGTTCGTCACAGCTTCCATATTTGTCCTTAGTCTTTTTTTTTTTTTTTTTTTTTCCTTTTGTTTTTCGATTTTCAGCTGCGGGGTTTTAGGAAAACTAAAAAAAATACACTTTAGAAAAGCCTTCCTGGTGGACAGGGTCAGTGTATGTGACTGAGGTTCACGAAGCCCTGCCCCGTTGCCTTTGCCATGCTGATGTCGTCTCTATGAGCCTGGTCCTCCGCTGTAGTGCAATAGTGTGCTCCAGGTCTGGCCAGTCCCACCCCGGGCCCAAAGAGGGCGCTACAGAGAGCCAGAGGCAGCAGCCTGCAGCTCCTGGAAGGTACTGTCAAAGCAGCGCTTCAGGTCCGAGTAAGTCACAACCAGGACACTTTTCTCATCCCGAGACACCAGGCTGATCTTCTCAGGAACGCCCGCGTCCAGCTTGAAGGAACACAGGAAGATACAGTTGAACACTCTTTTTTTGTTTTTTTTTTAACAACAATCAGTAGATTAAACAGTCCTTGTTAGAAAAGTAGCTATTCTGATAATCAACTGAGGTCATTTTTTCAAACAGCGCCCTGTGTACACCCAGATGACCCTATAAACTTGAGAAAACTATACATAGATGTTTCTGTGCATGTAGATATAAATACAGCCCAAAAAGTCACAGTTCTTATCAGCTTCAGACGTATGAAGTGAAACGCAGCACAACAGAAGTGAGAAAATACAGACACCATCAGTTTGTGATAAATCTATCAGGAAGTTAAGTAGGTGGTTGCTATAATGCTTGTGGGATGTAGGTTGGAGTTTTCTGTGGTGTTGTTTATTGGAAAATGCTACAGTTAAAGGCACAGTTTCATTGTTTGTTGTTGCTGGCTCTGGAGAGCGAAGTCGAAAATGAATTCATAAGTGTTGACAGATTTTGTAATTTCCGCTCTTTCTGGACATGACCAGCTGCTAACCAAATACCAAATGTCTCTAGTGGAAGGAGGCCAAAAATCAGACCTACTTTTACCCTCTTCTGCAATCTGTTGTTGTTTTTAGCCAGTGCAGTTGAAGCATTGACACAAAATGGGGCAAAAACTGCACGACTGACTGACTGACTCATCCATATTATAAAGTTCTTTATAGTGGACACCTTCAATTGCAGCAAATTCAATATATGAAAACAAAACAGAAGAAAGGAAGAAAGCTCACTGACTTTGTTGAGGCAGGAGACAATGTGGCTGAGGTCAATCCAGGGCGTCCCTGCTTCTGTCACCTGGTGAAACAGGTGATCCCGGAAAAGCTTCAACAGGTAGCGGTCGCCCGTCTCTGACCACGTCGGGTCCTTCTGAAACCTGAATTACATGAAATCACATACTAGTAACAGAAC